ACATAATATTATAAAAATTCTGCAGTTTTTGGAAGTCTCACTAATGTTTAGATATTCCCTGTATTTTGAATTTAATATTTATATACACTTGCATTAAAAAATTGGAAGTATGAAATCAATTGTGAGTCTTATCTTATATTCTATCTATCTATCTATCTATCTATCTATCTATCTATCTATCTATCTATCTATCTATCTATCTATCTATCTATCCATCTATTCATCTATGTATTGATCTCTTTGTGTAATGCATGCCTATAGGAGATGGTGTTTGTGTCTGTACTGGTTGCTCTGTGTCACTTTGAATTGAGCTCATAATCAGTCTGATTTGTACAATAGCAGATTACACACCCCATGCAATTAGCCTTTGTGATTGATACTTAAAAGGTTTCTTCTTCAATCTACAAGCCAAGGACCGAGATGAAAAATAGCTCCATTTTCTCTGGAAAAAAAAGGGAACTCCTCTCCCAGATAGCCTGTACACAATGACAAGTGACCGTCCCATTTCTATTAGAGAGCCTTGTGAGGGGTCTGAGAGGCGAGGACAGATGGAGTCTTTCAAGTTTATGATCCCATTTTGCAGGGTAGATTTATCTTGGCACGGCCAGGTTTGTTTCAGCCTTGTGTCTGTACACAAGTGGTCTGCTCTCAATTACTCAGCAAGCAAGCCTTGTGTTTAAAAAATTGGGTTTTCTTTTATTGCTGAGGGGTAGAGATAACTCAGGCTGGGTGTGTTTGAAGATTTCTAAGGATCTGCTTCCATGAAGGTGATACAACACAAGGCATCGCAATCAATAAATCATGTACCCTGTCTTTCCAATTTGTATAGACTCTGGTTAAGATCCTTGAAAATAAAATATAATTTCTAAATAAAAAAATATAAATTAAAAAAAAACTAATTTTATATTTAAAAGAAAGAAAAAAAACCTGCAGAGGATAATATCTGTATTTTCGCCTGCATGCAATTAGTCCAAACATCGAATTCGTTATCATTGTAACAATTATTATGTTACAAAAAATAAAGTCAATTGCATGTTTTGAAACAAATACAAAAAATAAACTTCTATAGTAAATACAGATTTTTTTGGCATTTTATATAATTCTAAGACCGGTTTGCTTGTATGTAAGAGGCCATTGCAAACAAGCAAAAGAGCAAAGTCTTTGTAAATCGTTCCTTTTAGATGATAATTTGTAACACAAGTAGTGCAGAGCAATATTCACATTCTAGACTTTCTCCAACAAATACTGTAGTGTCGTTTAATAAAATATTCCTATTTACTAAGATGGAGCTGAAGGCGCCCTAATCCTTATAAATATTAATGTAGTAAAATATAAGGTGATAGGGATGTAGCTTCCAGAAAGTGGTGGAAATTTGCTGAGTGATTCTACCACTGCTTGTCTGTCATTGATCCCTAGTAAGAACATATTCCTTAAGTGTAGGTAGGTGGCAGCAGGTTTTGTTATCTTGCAGCGTTCCAATTCGGTGAAATAAAAGTATAAACTGGAAATCCTCATACACTAGCTGGCAGGGACAGCATAGGAATAGAGAAGCTTGCAAAACTATAAAAAGGGTGAGAAAATCTCTTAAAGGAACGAATTTAGAATATTTATAAGCTAGAATTCTCAATGATATAACTGTCAAATATCTCTTGTTTTATTCATTAGAATCGTGGCTCAATACTCATAGCAAACACACCAGGATAAATGTGCCTATGTCCAAAAAAAAGGGACAGTTACTATCAAGTGCTTTTAATGAGACTTGAAAATTACATTCACAGTGGTTAAAATAAAGATAATTAACCTTGTGGTAAAGCTATGTGAACTGCATGATTTGTGTGTATCTTTACATCCAATAAAACTCAAATGGCTGAATTCACAATGCTTTAACACAAGGGTAAAAAGACCTTTATTGTATGCAACTGTTATGTTTTAATTCTCATTGGACTCAACTTGAAAAATAACTGTTGCTTTAAATCAATCTGTCAATCAATCAATCAATCAATCAATCAATCAATAAGTGTTCTTATCCTGGTGTGTTAGCTGAATATGTATAAAAATAGAAGGTTGAAAGTATAAAAAAAATTAAATGTGTTTATATATCCAATATGTGATACAATAACCATTTCAGATGGAAGATGACACTGTGATTTTCGTAATATCATTCTGATGTTCATTGCTGATATTTGTAAAAAGTATGCTCGTATGTACTAATTAAAGGGTTTCTGTGCCAAATTTTACCACCCCTGAGTTGCTGATTTATAAAAGGCCCTTGATCATTTTCATGTATATGAATTAATTTTTATCATTGATTAAAAAACAAACAAACAAAACAACACTCTCTGGTTGTTGGGGGCACAAGATCTACTTTTACTTTAGAAAGTAAGTTAAAATTTATTTTACACTTTCATCCTTTTAATTTAGACCAATTCATATAGGCAGGAGCAGATAATGGGGGCTGCAGTCAGTCCTATATATGTAGAAGTGCCTGAAATGTTTGTACTGGAATCTTCTACATCTGTGTTTCTGTCTTCCCCCAGGTGTTACAGAAGAGGCAAAGAGGTACCTAGTGGCTCCTACAACTGTCCAGAGATCAGTCCATCCTCAGGTAAGATTCCTCAGTATGATTGTCAGCACCCTGCCATCACTGATCCAGCCTGCTCCAGGGAGTTTGCACTGTATAAACTTTCCACTGTTCTCCTATACATATATTAATATCAGAATCAGCTGCTGTAGTTTCTATGCATATACCACTAATACCACTAATTTATATATATATATATATATATATATATATATATACTGCATGGTGCAAAATTTGGTGTAGCTCTGCATAGAAACCAATCAGCTTCCAGGTTTTATTGCCAAAGCTTAATTGAACAAGCTGAAGTTAGATGCTGTTTGGTTACCAAGCAGATTTGCAACAGATTTTGAGTGCACCAGTTTTAGTAAATACCCTCCATTATGTCTATGATACAAACTACATTTGTCATATGAAAGGCAGAGCAGACTGGAACTAAATACATTTTGTATGCTTTAAATGATTGTTGCCAATACCCAGTACTAAGCAGTAGAAATTGATGGATTTTTGGGTACCTTTTATTTAAGTCTTACCAGTAAAACGTGCAGGCTTTGAACACTGGTGATGATAATAATGGCCCAACCTGACAGCATTTATTGTAGAGAGAACCTGAGAATATGTTTTTATGTGAACTGCCGCAAGGCCTGCAGTTCCATTAAATATGGTGTACTCGAAAGAACTTCCGTCAAGTCATAGAGAATATGTCATTTAAACATGTAACACCTCTCTCTCTCTCTCTCTCTCTCTCTCTCTCTCTCTCTCTCTATCTCTCTCTCTATATATATATATATAATATATACATATATAAATAATATAAGATGTCTGGTAGCTAAAAAGTCTGTACACAACTTTAGAACAAAAAACAGTGGCTAGCAGAAAGAAGCATGCACAGGTCAAACCCTACAATAGGTGGACTGTAAAATCCTGGCTTCATTACATAACAGCTTTGTTTAATGTGTGTGAAAATTGCAAAGAAATATCAGAATATATATAGGGAGAGAGACAGACAGAGAAATATATATATGTGTGTGTTTATATATATATATATATATATATATATGTGTGTGTGTGTGTGTGTGTTTTATTTATATAATAATAATTTATATAATAATTGATATTATTTATATTATTATATATAAGTATATATATATATATATATATATGTATATATATATATATATATATATACTAAAAAATCCAGGCTTTGTCTGTCTACTACTTATTTATGAATGACACACTGTTAGCACTGCAGCCGATGACCGATGACTGTTGAACTTAACTTGAACACAGTTGTTTCACTTTCACAATTTTGAATTTTGATATTGCGGAGGTAAAATAGGGTTCAATGTGTGTTCACACCAAACTGTAGTACATTTCTTCATTTGTATTTATAAAGTGAATCTTTTATTTTATTTTATTTTCTCACTCTTATTCTGTTGCTTTGTGGCTGTTTAGCCAACATTTGGCATCTATACATTTAACTGCTATTAAACTGTCACATACCGGTAATGGCAATAAAAATCTTTGCAGTGATCAGGATAACATTGGTCTGTGTATTCTTAAAAGCAGTGCAATATATTAATATATATATAAATATATATTTATGCTTATTATGTATCTTATAGGTTCTTTGCAGTGCTACACTGGGGTCCTACTTTACTGCTCTTTCTGACAATGCAAGTTTATTGTGTTTACTAAAGCAGTTGATAATTGAAACTTTGAAAAATGAATGTTCACTTAGCTTAGGAAATATGGCAAAGCTCTCTGCAGTTTACATACCCAATTATTTTCAGCTGAAGTAAAAAAATAACAATGGGCATTTGCTTATACAAAATTGAATAACTGAAGTGGACATAACTTTACCTTATTTATTTACTCTGCAAAATTCTTTACTCCTTCAGTAAATCAACTACTATAATGATCAACCTACCCCCATCTGGTGCTTAATCTACAAATCTCTAAATTTAATAAAATAACCAAAATGTAATGGAACAATCATGTAAAAATGTGAAAGTCATACAACAATACTTATCTCTAATTTCACGTGCTCAAAATATGTGCTCAATGAATGTACACTTCGGGGTGGATTTACTAAAAACAAATTGACTGTGATCTTTGTAAGTGCATTTGCACTCAATTTCTCCAGGGCTTTGTGAATATGGTAAAGCTCTGCTAAATTCCACCATCCAATCAAGTGCCAGCAAAAAAGCTGTTTTTTTTTTTCTTTTCATCTGATTGGGTATTTTTTTGCAAAGTGAAGCTTTACCATGTTAAGTAAATCTACCCTATATGTTGCCTTTAGTGTACAATGTTTTCTGTGTAAAGTTTAGATATGCAATGTGTAACTGAATTTTATTTTTTGAACAGACATCTTGGTGCCATTCCAGTGAGACTTGCCAGTGAAGTTCTTCGCAGGACAACAATGGCCAGCAAAACGCTGCCAGCTCCAGTGCCAATTCACCCATCGCTACAGCTTACCAACTACTCCTTCCTACAAGCTTTCAATGGGCTTCCAGTGCCCGCAGACCATCTCCCTAACCTGTATGGGTTCAGTGCCCTGCACGCTGTTCATCTTCACCAATGGACATTGGGATACCCAACTCTGCACCTGCCCAGGTCTTCCTTCTCCAAAGTGCCAGGGTCTGCCAGCCTGATAGACACCAGGTTCCAGATCCCAGGCTTTCCACTTTTTCCCCATGTCATCCACCCTAAACATGACTCCACAAGCTTACCTGGCAAAACCAAGCCTAGGTTTGACTTTGCCAACCTAGCAGTTGCAGCCACTCAAGAGGACCCTTGTAAGCTAAGCCAGCTGGATGGGCAGGGGTCTCCTACAGCTATGGGAGCGCTTCTTGATGTCACCAAGCTGACTCCTGAAAAGAAGCCAACACGTGGGAGGTTACCTTCTAAAACCAAGAAAGAATTTGTGTGTAAATTCTGTGGGAGACACTTCACAAAGTCCTACAACCTTCTTATTCATGAGAGAACCCACACAGATGAAAGACCTTACACATGTGACATTTGCCACAAGGCTTTCCGGAGACAGGACCATCTCAGAGACCACAGGTAGGTGTCCACCTGTTCGGCATTAGATATTTGTTACCTATGAAATAGCAAAGTGTATTAAAAAATGCTTAACTTTAATTTTTTTAAAACAAGGAAGGAGCTTACTTAATAAAGGTTAGTGATGTTCTTCAACCAACAGAAGTCAACCTTAATTCAGTTTTAGGCAGGTTGGCTACAGAGGATCCAAAATATGACAGTCCTGTGATACATTTTAGCATTGCTGTTGACAACTGGGCAATATGTCTAGGGAAATAATAAGCATTTATGAGTGCTGTGAAAGCTTATTTCTCTATGTTATTTACCAACATAGTTGGTTTAAGTGATCACTTACTGATATTTTTTTTTCTACAGAACAGGGGGTTCACACCTCCTTTTTCTGATGGAATACACACGGCATTTCCTTGGACTATTTTGTACTGTCCGTGAACTTTTTTTATTTGCACTAACATACAATTTTGGGGTATGTCCCCTTCTTCAAGGTCTAAGCAGTACCTTACAAATCACAAAGTTTAAGCAGAATGTTAGAATAGATTGAGAGGAAAAAAAAAAAAAAAAAAAAAAGAGAAAAAAAAGGGCTACAGATAAGATACATCAAAAGTGAGGGGGGGACTATTTTTGGACTATTTTAAAATGATTAGGGAAAAGCAGATTCCTCATACTTTATGGGAAGTAGTATGGATGAGGATGGTCCCCTCACAGCATAATGTTTTAACAGCAGCGTTCGATTGTGCTCATCATTGCATAGTGGATGGGTTAATAAACTTGTGGAAATGAGTGTTGGAATGTGTAAACCATTGATATAAGTGGGGAAGTAAAAAGTAAAAGGTGCCATTAAGCTCTAATTTGTATAGTTAAAAAAGAGAATTTGGGATGAGAAGCATTTCAGAAGGATTTGTGCTCCAGTCCATAAAAACACAAAGTGAGAATAGACAAGTATCAAAATTTCCTATCTGCCAAAATATCTGGCAGTCCTTAATATAAGCATGCAAGGACACACAAATTGTGGCATTGTGTTTATGGAGGTAGAATGATCATAGTAGCTCCTTGATTAGCACTAGGGTCCGACAATGCTTTAAAAAAAGCTTTATCCTAAGTCGTTCTTGACTGAGCACAGACCATCCAGGCCTTCATGTCAAAGACTATTAGATCCCCAATATGCACCACATGGACATGCTCATTTCTTGCAAAAGGTCTTCCAAAGGTCAGATAATAGACTTATCAGAAGTCCTCATATATTGATTTTGAAAACTGTTTTCCAATTTATTATTCAGTTTTTTTATACAATTCGTTAGTATACATCATTGATCTTTACGCTCATTTACTGCATAAAGACCAAAATTCTTAGTTAAAATGTATTGGCACTAAAATAGTTTTTTTTTCTCTTTCACAAATTCTATTTTTTTTTTTTTTTTGTATTTTGGGTATTTATTTAAATATGCTGGTTTGTTAGACTTAGATGATCTATAGTAATATACTTTAAAGAGGGTTTTCCAATGGTCTTTCCATAATTTAGGAAATTCAACAACATGTGTTTAACAGAATTCATTAAGTGCAGTTACCTTAATAAACTGCTTAGTGCAATTTTAGTTTAGTGAATTCAGATGAGTAAAAAATATATTTTGATTGGTTATTAGGGGTTGCTACACCTATTATTGCTGTTTGCAATGTCGTACTACAAATTTACTTCAAATACAAGAACTAACAAGAACTACTTTGACCTGAGATAAAACCAGATCACATATGTTAATTTTTATCTATGGTGGGAATTAGAGAGATACAGGAAATATGTTCCACTCCCACCTCTTCTACAAATTTGGTTTGCAGTAATCCAGGTTGAACTGCAATCTATCCACAATGGTTGATTTATCTCTGCTATGGTTCTATTAGAGGCTGATAGCCTATGCTGATAATGCCACATCAGCTACCCACTGCAGGACCCCTACCCCCATCCCACATTTTTGGAACTACAATCCGTAGCAATCCCATACAAGAATAACAAATGTACTTGTAGTTCTTTAAAAGAACAACTGTAAGTTCCAGCAGGTCAGCTGAGGGCCTGCTGACTGCTAAGCTTGTTGTTTTATGGTCATCAAAATTTGAAGTTTTCAATGTGAAATTTAAAATATCAGCCTAAGAAATATCAGCTTTTGGTAAATCTTGCTATGTAGAGTCGCCAATTAAAAACAAAACTCTAGAAGGGAAATCTCTCTGTCCTAGTTATGGGTTCTGCTTCTCCATGCTTTTAAAAATTTGCTACTCCTAGAGGAACATTTTTTTTTTTCATTTTAAATTTAAAATCTAACAGGAAGAGTAAGTCACCTTTATATAGAATATGGCATTGGGTGGGTATGGAAACACACAACACACCTAAACGACGTGAAAAAGAAGTGGGAATTTTACTGCTCTTGATAGATGTTCTATCAAGATCTGAAATATCAATTTGGGGTGAACTAAGCCTTTAAGCTGTTGGCAAAGTCTATACAGCACACACCTAAATATTTAACCTTTGTGTTATTTCAGGTACATCCACTCAAAAGAAAAGCCATTCAAGTGTCAAGAGTGTGGCAAAGGATTTTGTCAGTCTAGGACTTTGGCAGTTCACAAAACTCTCCACACACAAGTCAAAGAACTGAAACCTTCCAAAATTAAATGCTGAACTATATATGCACAAAAAAGACTGTTCTGCAAAAAAAACACAAACTATTTAAATCTACTATTTTTATGTGTAAAAGTGCAAGAGGGCTTTCAAACGAACGCTTCTTCCTGTGTGTATTCCAAGAGATTTTCTGGACTGACCTTGCTTTGCTTGGAATTTAATTTAAACCAGAGACCAGCGTGAACAAAGTGATGGCACTCACACAGACTTTATGCCAAGAGGGGGTGCTCACATCATGCCTTTCAAAAGGACTCTCTGTGATCCTGCGACTCTGTTGCTCTTATATATAGCAGCGTTGGCATGCATACTCCAGCGGTGGGAAAAAATTACAGAATAAATTAAAATTAATTGCTTGTAACAGGCTGAGTTTCTTTTTTGAGTTCGTGCAACAACAGAAGCAAATACTTCAAAGTCCAGTCATGCCTTAAGAGTACATACACAGTATTGTGGTTTCGGTGATACATCTGACAACACTTTTGTTTTTATATGAGTTGAGTACACACCACAAATAGAGTCCAGGGCATTACTTTGCAATGCGTTGTTTTGCAGATGACTATGTATGTGTGGTCAATGCATGTTAATGCAGCAAATGGAATTATTTTAAAACAATGAAAATGCACTCTGATGCATTATGAGAAATTAAAGTGCATGCTGGAAGGCACATTGTGGTTTCTCATTTTAAATTCATGTGACCAACCCACAAAGAAAAATGCAGAAACTCTTAAGATTTTGTATGCATTTGAGCACATTTACACATTTTCTAAAAAAATATACTTGGCTTGGTAGACACCCCATTTATGGAGGTATAAACTCATGCATACTTATGTCCTTCTTAAAGCAAATCTGTGGGAGGCTATAGATATTTAAATATTTACGCATTCTTAGCAATCACTGATTTTTTTTAAAATCCCTTAGTCTCTTTAGCTGAAGACACTGTGGAGCAATTCATCCTCAAAGTTAGCACTAAAGTAATTCAAGAAATTTGCTCAGTAGCTCAGCTCCCCCTGCTCTGTTCAGCCATCAGGGACATGTTAGCTGAGCTCTACCTACTTCCCCACCTCAGCAGAGACTCAGCAACTCAGCTCTACCTGCTCCTCCCTCCTGTCAATGGCTCATCTTAGCTCCTCCTGCTCCCCCCTCCTTACAGTGACTCAGCAACTCATCTGTTCCTGCTCCCCCTCCCAACAGTGGCTTCTAAATGCCTCTACAAGTTAGCCTATGTGCCAATTCACACATAGGCATCTACAGGAGTTTAGAGGCAGGAGTGTTTAAAAGCAGACAAAAAGACATCACTTGTACCTTCAAGAGAGGAGCGTTTTGGCTGAAAAATGCCAAAGCACTCCAAAAAGCATGTAAACTCGCCTAAACATGCCTAAGCCTTAGACATGTTTAGCACTTTAGCAATTTTTTCATTTCATTGGCCAGAATAAACTAAAATTTTGGCCAATGATATTAACGAATGCCCAAGTGCTTGACATGTTTAAATGCGTTTCCAAAAGCGTGGCTTAGGTGCATTCTGAAATCTGCTTTTCTCCTGCCTGGAGAAAAAAGCTTTTAGAAGAGCCCTGGTGTGTAGGGGGCCTAAGAATGGCTATAGCTATACCAGCATGATCTGACATATATGCATCATTTGATCACTGTCAAGCATATAGAAATATCTTGCAACACCATGGACAGGAATATTCCGTTCTGTAGAATAGAAAAGGTAACAACACTGACTTAGGTCACCTACCAGGGTCATGAGCTCTCCATAGGTATGAGATTGTCCACCAGATGCACCTTACTTAGACCATTTGCCAAACCATAATTGGACAATTTACACCAGACTCCCAGTAATTGCTTTATCACTATCACACCTCTATTGTCTATTGGCTACAATGGTGGATTTCTGTTTTTTTTCTCAAGTGCAAAACAGTTCTAACAAGATTTTGGTTCCTTATCAGTGAATTACAATATCTTTTTTGCTTTATTATGTGTCTTGGATTTTAGGGGAAATACAATGTTCTTATATCAACAAATTAAAAATTATTTATTTCATAACCAGCAGTCTGAGACAATGTATAATTTGCATTCATATTGCTGTAATCAGTAGAAGGATCTAATTAGCATTTTTTGGTGCTTTTCCTGAGATCTCTTTCTCTTCGTAGAGAAGATAATTGTTAAAGTGAATCTACATTTGGCTGCGAAGGGTTGTGACTTGGAGCTTACACGGGGCTGTGAGCTCTCTTTCCACCCCCTAGTTGACAGCATTGGGTGCCTGAGCAGCCAATCACCAGTGATGTCACTTGGGAGGAATGGTAGTGAGTTACATGACCCCCCCAATACCTAGAAGTACAGAATGTTTCTCTTCACTCCTCATAGATGAATGTGCTTACATGTTTGGATAATTGAACTTTACTCATTTGTTAAAATTCCTTTAGTAAATCAGGTTCACAATAAATTATGTACTAAAGGAGGAGGGACTGTTCACTTAACAAAGTTAGTGTTCACCCAGTGTTGCCTTATTTACTAAGCTAGGTGATCATTCATTTTGTGCAGTTGACATTCTCCAGTCTTGTAGTAAATCAACCCCAGTGAATCAAAAATATTGCAGTCTTTACATTATCAAAACACCCAGACAAGTAGCATTTTCAAAAGAGATTTAAAGCCCAACTGTAGCCAAAACATGTTATCTACTTTTGGACACAACACAGTGAGGAAGGCCTTAGAGCATGGGTGCTCAATCTGTGGCCCTCCAGCTTTAGTGGGACTACAAGTCCAATTATGCCTCTGCCTTTGAGAGTCATACTTGTAACTGTCAGCCTTGCAATGCCTCATGGGATTTGTAGTTCTTCAACACCTAGAGGGCCAAAGTTTGAGTGCCCATGGCTTAGATCCACTGTGAGTTTTTATTATTGCTTGATTTCCAACTCACTTCTGCACAGAAAGTAATGGGAAATCACTCAAAATGGCTGACCATGTTATCATTGTGGTCTGTTTATCCTATCCCAGTGACAACCACATGCCCCATTTCCTAAACATAGGGACAGGAAGTTGGGACATTCTCCTTAATGGGATCGTAGACAGAAATAAAGGCCTGGTAGAAATTAAAACTTACTCATCAAACGTTATTTTTTTTTTTTGCTTGATGTGGGCTTTGAAATAGAACTCCAGCCACAAATATCAAGATGAAAATGAACAGGCCAATAAAAGATAAAATACCACAACCAGCTTTTGCTTTTTATTCACCATGCATTCATCCATTTTCCCCATCCGTCTTTATATTCTGCCACTATATACCTTCAGTCTGATGGCCAACATCTTTAAACCCACTTCCCCTGAGCTCGGGATGTCCTGACTCTGCCCCAGCTAGTGATTGGACAGTGAAAGGAGAAGCAGTACAGTGATGAACTCATTTCTCTTTCACTCTGCTTTCTTCTTGCAAGCCTTGCTGAACAGGGACTGCAAGGGACTGATATCAGGTTAGATTCAGGTACCTACCCTGCTTGCATTTAAAAAAAATACATCAAAATGATGTATTAATGAGTACAGATCTGCATTAGTTTGTGTCTTTTATAACGTTCAGCTTGAGGACCCATTTACACTGTTGTGTTCCAATATCCTAAATGCATATATCATGGTTCCCTTTCATAAATATAATGTCTGGTCCTATCTTTGTTTTTAAAAATGTGAATTTTTTTTCTGCACTTTGGGAGGATCATAGCAGGTAATGGCAATGCATCAAAATACATATATGTGGTGTCTGCAGGGACATCCACTGAACACATTTCAACAAATTTTGCAGGAATTGGCAAAGATTTGATTAATGTATGGCCAGCTTAATGCTATGAAAAAATAAACCCTGTCTGCGCACACTATTTATTATATGTAGCGTTGTCAATTTACGTAGTGCTTCACACACACACACATATATATATATATATATATATATATATATATTGGGACATTCACATCAGTCCTTAACCCTCAAGGAGTTTATGATCTAAGGTTCCTAACTCACATTCATATATACACATACTAAGGCCAATTTAGATAGGAGCCCACGCAGGCACAGAGAGAACATGCAAACTCCATGCAGGTAGTGCCATGGTTGGGATTCAAACAGATGGCCCTAGTGCTGCCAGGTGGGAGAGCTACCCACTTAGCCACTGTGCTGCTACTGTACTGCCCTAAACAGCACATTGGCTAACTGGACAGCACTTCTACCTGGCAGCACTAGGGCCATCTGTTTGAATCCTAACCATGGCACTACCTGCATGGATTTTGCATGTTCTCCCTGTGCCTGCGTGGGCTTCCTCCCCACAATCCAAAGCCATGTTGGTAGGTTATTTTGCTCCTGTCCAAATTGGCCCTAGTACACTATATTGCCAAAAGTATTGGGACACCCCTCCAAATCATTGTATTCAGGTGTTTTAATCACCTCCATAGCCACAGGTGTATAGAATCAAGCACCTAGGCATGCAGACTGTTTCTACAGACATTTGTGAAAAAATGGGTGGCTCTCAGGAGCTCAGTGAATTCAAGCGTGGTACAGTGATAGGTTGACACCTGTGCAATAAATCCATCCGTGAAATTTCCTTGCTACTAAATATTCCACAGTCAACTGTTAGTGGTATTACACACAGTGGAAGCAACTGGAAACAACAGCAACTCAGCCATTAAGTGGTAGGCTACATAAAATGAAAGAGCGGGGTCAGTGCATGCTGAAGCACACAGTGTGCAGAAGTCACCAACGGTTTTCAGAGTCAAAAGGTAAAGACTTCCAAACTTTGTGTGGTCCAGGGGCGGACTGACAACTCATGGGGCCCCCGGGCAATAGGGGACCATGGGATCCCTGTGTCCTTGCCCACACTCAAACCACACCCAAAAAAGCCTATGAAAAAGGTACCAGAGGCAGCTCATGGGGCCCCCTTCTGACCCCGGGCCCTCGGGCAGTGCCTGCGTTCCCAAAGTGTCAGATGCAGTGATGTAAAGCACGCTGCCACTGGACTCTAGAGCAG